TTTTCAAAATTACCAAAGTTTTAATGGGTAAAACCTGGATAAACATACTCTAAATCCCTAATTAAATTTAACAGAAAGAATGCAGATCTCCCTTCAATAACTCTTACAGCCTTTTAGGGTTTGGGGTTTTATCCCTTTTAGCAGTGTATTTTGATAGCATTAGGAAGTACTGCTCAGTGACAGCTGACCAGCCATTTCCAGAATCAGACCTTTTTTAGCCTGTAAAAGAATACGCTACTTTCTGTGTTATTATTGTTATTATTTAGGAAATGGAGGGAAAATGATCTGAGATTTGCTCATTTTTAGGTTGGGCGAGGGCTTCTGGGGAATATTTTTGTTCTGTTTTCACTTTTGCTGTTTGATCATTTCATTGTATTTACTGTACGACATGTTTATTGACTATGTGCTTTAGTCTGAATCACTGTATTCATCAGGAAAGAAATACGTCTCCATTGCAGAGCAAGTAAGAAAAAATATATTAACTACTAACACTAGTATAGAAAGCTATATAAATTATACTGGCAAAAAGCAGGTAATAAAATTTGCAACATGTATTTACAGAGGACTTCAGGATAATTACTGAATAAAACAGCATCAGCTGCTTACTTTTTCAGAGTTTAGTCTGAGCTAGAGTATGTCCAGACTATGTGCTACACAAGAAAGTGCAAAGACTCTACACAACTTCCGCATATAGGTATCAGCTTAGTTGATTTCTAAATGCATTAAGGTAAGGGTACAACATTAGCTATTGAACGTGATTGCCAGTTTGCAATTTTTGCTCCCATGGTATTTAGCACATTGAAGAGCAAATGTGTTAGTCATTATATTAACTCTTTAATTGTGACTTCTCCCATCAACTCAAGTGGCAGATACTTTTTTTTAAGCTAATATTTAAACTAATCCTTTTTAATTGCTGCTGCAATGTAAACTCACCAATAGCGTCATTACACAAATACGTGAAGAAATAAAATCCAAAGAGAAAAGCAGAAAATACTGAAATAAAGTAACTAATACTGTATTAGATAGAACCTTCTCTATGGTTTCTTCAAAGGTCAGAATTACCTGCTTTCCCAAGGGAATTCCAAATATTTCACTTTTAACTTTCGTAAGAAAGGAGCAGTGCAGAAGTGTGTAAGTTCACTATAAAACTTGTACATTTCAAAGTCAAAACCGATAGCACTGCATCATCAAAGACATGTGACAGCACATCAGGTTTTTGGAATCTTTGATTAGGCAGGATGAGTTAGCACCATCTCCATAATGCAGAAAAGTGAAAATACCTTTTGGAAGAGCAGGAAGAGAAGGCTAAGGGGTGGTTTCCTCCTGTAGTGTATTTATAACCACCTCCCTGCAAGGGAACATGGTTACCAATCGTCCTGTCTCCCTGTGATGGACCAATACAGGATCCTGATGTGCCAGTACATCAATTTGTCAGAAGCAGCTAGAGCAGCATTAAACAGCAGCACAGCGAGCAAGTGTTCAGTGATGTTATGGTGCTGAACGTACATAAAAGCTCCCATCAGTATGCTGCTGCTGCTGAAGAACCATCACTTTAGCTGCTAACCATGTTTGCTGTGTTTTTAGATGGGAATGCAGTGAGATAAAATGAACCACTACAAAACCAAACACCATGCAACACTACTACATTCACTTCTTGTATAGAATAGGGCAGAGTAAGAACAGTCCTGTCCCTGCCCACTGGTATGAGAAACTGAAGCCTCTTCTGGAAACCCTCCATTGTGCCAAACTCATGCTCTTGCCATGAATGTCAATGAAATTTAAAGATCTGCTTATTCCTGGTTTTCTGCCCTGTCTCCTATCATGTTCCCCACTTGGCACCATTTCATCAATATAGCAAATCCATTAGGAGCATTGCTTGCACAGACATCTGACTATATGGACTGCTCTTTAAATGGATCAGAGTTACCTTCTGTATTAAAACCATGACCATATTAGTAACTGCTGTATCTCCACAGAATCCCTTTTAAAAGCTGAAAATCCAAATTAACTTTTCTTTCCTTATGCTGCAAGGTCTCTCTTAGCGCATGCTTATTGCATTAGCCCAACCAGCCGTCTCCCAAACCAACTTAACAGATTTCTCCCACTGAACATATCAAATTGGCATCCTCTCCTTCTTGCTTCTGATGACACTTATCCTTACCCTTGTGTGCTGAAGAGTTGGAGCTAATGAAATGATCTGTATATCATCATGCTTTAACTCAAGATACTATCTAATTGGATCACCTTGAGCTATTAAATATGCTTAGTTATATATTAAGACCTTTCAAATAAAGGGAAACCTTTTGGGTTAAGTGCTCAAAAACATTTGCCATGACTATTTTTCAAGATACCTTCCTATACATTTAATTAATTCACTTAGCGACTACTAAGCTAAAGTAAAATTAGCTTGTGGTTTTACAGCTGAATACAAAAGCAGCCCACAAAAGAACATGAGCAAATTTCCAAGTTTTGTTGACTTTTGAGTACTTGATTTCATCAAGCATGTTTTTCATTTAACATTTAAAACGTCCCTGTGTTTCCGGTGCTTCTAAATTCTGTAATTAGTGCCTATAAAATCCCTTTCATTTATTATCTGGAATTTAAAATTCTGTTCAGCATTTTACTACTGTTATAGTACTATCTATACTAACAGAAATCTATCATGCCACAACAGCCTTAGTCTTGCTGCAACGTGTGGTTAAGGACAGCCTGAGCCATCCTCTCTCTAGTCCTTCATCAGGGGCTGGAGAATAGCCTGTCCACATCCAGCACTGCCATAGCAGGCAGTGAACTCCAGAGCCTTACACCAAAACATATGGTTAGCTTTAATTTTCTTTGCGAGCTCCCAGATATTTCCAATGTGGTGCCTACTTTATCTCTTGTAGAAGGAAACTGAGGGCTTTGCTATTCAGAAATTATTTTGCTGGCAGTCAGAATTTCCCTAAAGATTGTAAACAGAGGAGCATGATACTTCATCATGTAAACCCACCACTGAATAACATCAGAATTTTCTAGAACAGAGAAAATGAATTTACCTCCCCCAGATGTTGAACAGATAGATATACAATAGCTATAAAGACTTATCACAAAACACTGGTGGTGAACAAAGAGGGGAAGCACTTGACACAGACCATTACAGGCCAGCTGAATGTCATCATAGATACTATCATAACCCAGCAAAAATTCACTCATCTTCCTGTTCCACTAATGATACAAACAGAAAATTAACAATTATCTGTGTGCTAAAAGTGTGACCCACTGCTGTCAACTGAAAAGATAGACATGCTCTTCAATTATTTGCTGCATTGTACTAATTAAACAGGAGAATTATGGGAACCTTTCATTAACCTCTCAGAAAGTACATGTATTTTAAAAGAACTACATTCAAGAGGAGAACCAGCTCAACAAGGCTGAACACCAGCAGCATTCATTCTTTAATATTCTTTTGTCAGACAACAGAAAACAGATGTTATGTAGCAACTTCAAAGCCATATGAAACTTGCAAATTGCACATGATCTACAGACTGCTTTATTGTGGTCAGCTGATGATTTAGAATATAGTTGGTATAGAATCTCCCTCAGCAAGATCCAAACGTGTACAAGGGACCAAATGTGCCAGTCAATCTGACCTTCCAATCATCTGAAAAAGGGTAGATTTAGATTAGGTACTAGGGAAAAATTCTTCCCTATGAGGGTGGTGAGGCACTGGAACAGGTTACACAGAGAAGCTGTGGTTGCCCCATCCCTGACAGTGTTCAAGGCCAAGTTGGATGGGGCTTGGAGCAACCTGGTCTAGTGGAAGGTGTCCCTGACTGTGGCAGCGAATTGGAACTGGATGATCTTTAAGGTCCCTTCCAACCCAAATCATTCTGTGATTCTATGATCCATTCCAGACCCCAGATGCTCTCCCAAGTATTTCATGCACTAGAGAGAAGCCACAGGAAGAATTTGTATTTGGGTACAACACCAAAACAAGGGTAAATCTCAACATTTGAAGCTGGAGGCAGCAAACAGCCTCAGCGCAACATGCAGCATGAAGGAATCAAGAAGACACATGCAGAGAGCATTCCCCCCAGTCTTTAGTTAAAAGAAAAGACAGCTCTGAAGTCTTCCAACTCAATGTCTAAACCACGTAAAATCAAGATTTTCATAGCCTCTGTGCAAGTGCATTAATATTCAATGTCATGCTCAAATAAGACAGTTTAAAAAAATGCTTAATCAGCCTTAATTTTTATGTCATGGACGATCCAAACAGAGCAATATATTCTGTTGGATACCAAAGTCTTTTAAAACGTGAACCAATACCACTACTCCAAAAACATCTTGAAACTGCTAACATTCTGTGTTAGTACAGTAATCTCCCCTATAGTTCAGAAAAGACACAGGTAGGAGACAAGATTTTCCCATCTAAAACAAAAGCAAAGAGAAGTTCTGACCTCAGAAAGCACTGAGATTGCTTGCTCATTCCAACAGCTAGCTGAGATACCAACAAAGATATAAAGAAACCTAATTATTATCTACCATTTAGAATAGTACTTTATTGATCTATTTTTTCTTTTGATGATACAGGTGTTAGGATCAAAATCTACGCTTTGTTGGACCGTAGTCTCTGATTTCATTTTATGACTGCTGAGCAAAGTAAAATCAAAACGTATGTCAAAAAAGGAAGTGGAGTTTTGGTTTAGGTTTTCACATTTTTCTTTTCCACATGTAGAAAACCCAAATAAAGTTATGCTGCCAACAGTTCCACTGTCTACCTGCCACTGAAGGCAAGTTTGTAAATCTCAGGAGAGGCTAAGTTTCCCTCCAAGCTGCAGAATCATAAGGAGCTGACAACATCAAATGCCAGAGGCAGGCCAGAAGTCTCTTTCTTTTTTGTGAACACTGATAAAAAGATAGTCCACAACAATGGGGACAAACCGAACTGTCACAACTATCCAAAAAGCAACAGAATAAAGAGTTCAAATGAGATCAAAAATGGTTAGTATACATGACTGTACCTTGGTCTATCATTTGGAAGATATAATTTATCAGTGCAAGCAGTGCAGCTTGTCTACTATACTTAGGGCTAAACCCAGATGGATTCAGTCAAGGAAATCTGAGGATTCTAGATGCCACCAGAGTCGCCTTGCGCACAAGCTTCCTTATAGCTTTCCCTAAAAAACAAAGAAATTCAAGACAAAAAAAATGGTGAAAACTTTCCTCATCTAAGGATAATTTTTCAAGCAGGAAAAAACTTTTGATCCTGTAAGTAAGCAAGCACCTTGTTCTCCCATTCACTTTCAATACCGGACAAATACTTCCTCAGTAGACACTCCCAAACTTGGAAGAGTGAAAGTCACAAGCTGCAGCCCAGATCTTTCAAGCTGCTATATTCACTTCCACCAGTGCAACCTGCTGAGACTTGGGAGAGCTTCCTCCCTCATACTCCTAACCCCAAAGAAGCAGGTACTATTTTCAGAATGACCAGGGAGGTACTGAGAGTTCCATACTGATCTAAGTCATTGAAATAATTAAGTACTTTGAAACCTCTGTAGGGTGAAACCCACTGTACAGCTGCTGAAGGAATTCAACTCAGATAAAACAGTTAACCCTTCATCAAAAACAGTTCAGCAGAATGCTTGTTGTAGGGTTTTAAGAAGCTTCAGTAAATGGAATTTAAAATGGAGACCAGAAAAATCAGTGTACAGGATACAGAGAAGAGGTGCTCTTTCTCTTTTAAAGACAGAATCTTACTAATGGAAAACAAAAACAGGGGGAAGAAGGGAAATAAAATCACACAAGCATATAAATTAAATGCTCTGTTTCAGAGAAGTAAACTGTATTTCTGTCACCAGAACATATGGAGAGAAAGTTAAGGGACCCATTTTATATTAATACTGGTATTCAAAGCAGAGCAGCCCAAACCATCAACATCTCATTCCAGGTCTGTACAGCATCAAAGACAAAATCCTTACGGATCTCTATAGAAATAGATTCTCCTTTCACTTTTCTTCAAAAGCCCTTCTTTTCTAGAAAATACATTGGAAAGAAAATGCAAGCAAGTACTGAATAGGGAAAAAAAATCTATTATGTATGTCAGGGTGATCTCAGTGCTTATTTACACATGCTTATATTTAAATTTGCAGAGCTTTGAAATTCACGAATATGAACTACTGTTTCAAAACAGGTGGTTTTCTATGGAGGCGTTTGTCATTATACAAATCTAGTCCAGACAGCAGCAATCCATTCAAGTTAGTTACTCAGGTGTGTATCTGTATGCATCCTACTCATGAGGAATTTTCCTTCTACTTATATTTGCACTATGAAAAGTTGTGCTTTTAATAAATGCCAAATCTGAATCAAGCCCCCGGTATTCTTTTGGTGGAAATGGGGCAAGTCCTCTGGGAATGAAAACCTCATATCTCTACTACAGTTTCCAAAGCATTGGAGCTATAATACTTAAACAAGCAGGGAAATGGTGTATATCACTGCTTGCAAAGGTTCAGTATAAGCAGTGAAGAGCTATCAGTACATGTATGCAACATGTAAAAGGTAAATTATGACATGCAGCAAGCCACATCTTTGAACAACAGATGTGCATAGTGCACAGACTTTTCTTTATATAAACAAATTTAATACATTTCCCATATCTTACATTGCACTTTCCTTAAAAAGGCAGAGCTCTGTTAAACAAAATCCCACCCCTTATGACTTGCCTTACAAGCTGGCTGGCAAGTAGACATGGGCAATTAGACACCAAGGGCAATTTCTAAGAGACGTCACACAGAAATACAGAAACATACATGTACTTGAATATTCTTGTCCACTTTCTGGCTCAAGAATATTAGGTGCTCAATACTTCTTCAATGATATGATCAATGACTGTGGTGCTTGAATAAAGAACAAACTAGGTTATCTCTAAACCATCTATGCCACCACTGAAAGACCTCATCTAAGCATTTATTTGCAGCAGACAATGATAGGAGAACTGTGACAAGTTGTATTTCTATCATTTCACTAGGAGCCATTTGTTGAGGTTTTCTACTTTTAGATTGCAAAACGCCATATATAAGGGATCCCCTTATCACTATATCCCCATCATGGAGTAAAGAAGCAGACCTGTCACCTAAACACTGGCAATGTGCTTATGAGCATTTCAATTTCATAATCACCTTTGGGATGACTTCCACACTATTTTTAATATCCACTATAATTACGGATTAGCATTACTTTTCATAAATGCTCTCTATACATTTTGAATGCAAGCCACCAAAAAGCTATGTCTGAGAACGACTCCCATTCTTTGCTCTCCCTCCAGTATTCACAAATTTATTTCTGGATGAAGATAAAAATCAATATAAAATATCCCACATTTATCAAAGTGCAAAACTATCTGCCATACTCTAATGACTATAATGTCAAATGACTGCTGGTCATTTGTACATATCTGTAACCTAGGATGTAGTTCTTACGTTAAAGAACACTAATAAACAATAAAAAAGTCATCTAACAATAGAAAGCTCATCTGAAAACAAAACAAGATAAAGTATCAGTGAACTATGCCATTAAAATGTATGGATACATGGGTTTTATGTACTCAACATCAGTGTCAACTAACAAATGTGAAACATCACATATATTATATTTGGCTATTGTGGGAAGAGAAGGGAAATTAGAGACTACCTTCCCCAGTCCCCCAAAGTTATATTATAACATATATAGGAAAATCTTAGGGTAAAATGCAACTGCTACTTCCAGGATAGGATGTGGTCGGCATGCACAAGAATCTACCTGGTGATTGCAGGCTCTGCCCCCTGCAGGAGTGGCAACTTCAAGGCACCATGTACCGATAAACCGCACGGCAGGTGCCAAACAAGGAAGCTAGATTTGTATTTGTAAAAGCAAAGCGAGAGTATTTTACAGCCATCAGTAATAAAGTATGACTAGAGTCACTCAAGCTTCATAGGCATAAAGTTAAAAAGTTGAAACTTGTGTTATTATGGAGAAACCTAAACAGATGCAACGGCCTCCTACAAGGTCAGGATGAACAACACTGGCAAAGAACTGCCAGTGGGAGGAAAGGCTTTGCCTTTGTGTAGGTGGATTGAGAAACAGAACTAACAAACCTCTAATCAGGAAAGACTATCCCTGAAGCCTGGTTCAGCACACCGACACCATCAACATATGGCTTCATGCATCAGCAAAACATGACTAGGCTGTCCTTTCAATGGAAATGATGCAACCTCATGAAAACTAATTGACTACACTGTACATTGGTGGGAGGGTTACAGGGAGTTACTGACCTGAATCATATTGTATAAATATGTGAAATTAGTAAAGGGAAAGCAAGGAAGACTCCAGAGTAATTGCTGGGATCAGCTGATGGACTGAACCCATCTTCTCCCATGTAGGGATGCATACTGGGTATGAACTTTATCTTATGCGTGTCAGATAACTAACACTAGCTGTTATTAGTGATTACAGTCTGGTTCGGTTATCACTTCAAGCTTGTTTTTGCAATCTATCAGAGGCAATCAGGAACCTTAATTTGTCACGATTTTGTATTAATAGAGTGTCATTCTGTAAACTGTCAGTGTTAGCCCTTTGTGGGCGCCAACAGCCATCGGCAGTGGGGAACAGATTTGGATAAAGTGGGCAGAGCTGCTGAGGGGTCCCCCTGATGCTGTTGGCACATTTTCCTGAACAAGTCAGTTGAATCACCCTCTAATCCAGCAGGACTGTTCAGTGAAGGGTTCCTATAATGGGATGCTGACAGACTGGTTGGGCACAAAGGTCTTGGCTTTCCTGGGTGTTGATACACAAATCAACTAGGGGTTGAGAAAATCTCCCCCCCTTTCACGTGACATGCTATCCAAAACCATAAACTCTAAGAGGACACTTGACCCACCCAGATTTTTCTAGGTGACTCATTTCACTGAAAAACATGGGAGATTGCCACATGAGTATGTGTTTGGCATAAATAAAAATTAACAACAGGCCTAAAAAGATTTTAGCCCATTTAGCTAAACAGTCAATGGGGAGTACTCCATGTCCCACTTACTAGGATGAAGGACTCCCACTGCACCTGATGAAATCCATCCACGGGTCCTGAAGGAGCTGATGAATGAAGTTGCTAAGGCACTGGCCATCATATTTGAAAAATCATGGCAGTCAGGTGAAGTTCCCGATGACTGGAAAAAGGGAAATATAACCCCCATTTTCAAGAAGGGGAAAATGGATGACCTGGGGAATTACAGAGCAGTCAGTCTCACCTCTGTGCCTGGCAAAATCCTGGAGCAGATTCTCCTGGAAGGCATGCTAAGGCACATGAAAATCAACAAGGTGCTTGGTGACAGCCAACATGGCTTCACTAAGGGGAAATCCTGCCTGACCAATTTGGTGGCCTTCTATGATGGGGCTACAGAACTGATGGACAGGGGTAGAGCAGTTGATGTCATCTACCTGGACTTGTGCAAAGCGTTCGACACTGTCCCACACGACATCCTTGTCTCTGAATTGGAGCGACATCAATTTGATGGATGGACCACTCAGTGGATAAAGAACTGGCTGGATGGCCGCACACAAAGAGTTGTGGTCAATGGCTCAATGTTGGCTGAGACCAGTAACGAGTGGTGTCCCTCAGGGATCTTGTCATTGTTGCTGGCATGGACACTGGGATTGAGTGTGCCCTCAGCAAGTTTGCCGATGACACCAAGCTGTGTGGTTCGGTTGATACCCTGGAGGGAAGGAATGCCATCCAGAGGGACCTTGACACGCTTGTGAGGTGGGCTGATGCCAACCTCATGAAGTTTAACCATGCCAAGTGCAAGGTCCTACACCTGGGTCGGAGCAATCCCAGGCACAGCTACAGGTTGGGCAGAGAAGAGATTCAGAGCAGCCATGTGGAGAAGGACTTGGAGGTGCTGGTTGATGAGAAAATGAACATGAGCCGGCTTCAGTGTGTGCTCACAGCCCAGAAAGCCAACCGTATCCTGGGCTGCATCAAAAGCAGCATGACCAGCAGGTCGAAGGAGGTGATCCTGCCCCTCTACTCTGCTCTTGTGAGACCTCACCTGGAGCATTGTCTGCAGTTCTGGTGTCCTCAACATAAAAAGGACATGGAACTGTTGGAACAAGTCCAGAGGAGGCCACAAGGATGATCAGGGGACTGGAG